TCCGCAAGCGCACGGATCTATCATTGTAGCATTTCACCCGGAGGTATTCAGTGTATCGTTATTTATATTTTCTCAAAGGAGAGCAAGGTATAAGAGTCTAGCATGAGCATGAACAAGATTACATACTTGCATTAGTAAACTAGTTGTCCAAGACAGGGGTAAAAACGGTATTTTAAGGATAGTGGACACACATCTGAGCCAACCTCAAGGATAAAAGAGAAAACAAAGAATAAAAAATGTTCCTACATGGAGCCAGCATGTTCTAATATAGCCATGCAAAAAACAGTTAACGATCATACAAGTTATATGATTAGAGTTAGAACTAAGTTTAAGATGAACGGGGAGATCTCCGAGCACTGGTCTGCCAGCAAGCGCGAGAGACTTTAAAACTCCTACACAGTACCCAAACGTGGGGGATTACAAGGGACGGACAGGGCTATCACCACCTGCCGCTGACCCCTCAACCAGGGGCACCGTCATATCCAAAGGTTCCTGTGCACCCGAGCACCACGTCCGTGTACAATGAAACTACCCATGTCCCCTAGAATTCTGACCCTACGGATCGACAAGGAAGAATATGGGCAAACCCGAAGGAACGACGAACCATCACCTCAACCCTAGCTCTACTTCTACTCATACAAACCATATGAATGATTAAATATGAAGTTGAACATGTTAAGATCATAACACACAAACTATATGCTAATTCATATATCATGATTATAACAAGACAACTATACTCTAGTTCATATGCACTACTATATAAATGATATGAGAGCATGACTACAGAAGAACTCTTCATAGTATTATTCATACCAAGATGTCACTCTTCTTCCAAGGAGCCAAGCCCTCCTTGATAGCTTTGCTAGCTCCAAATACCACTACTAAAACTAAGAGAGTACAAGTAGACATAGGGGAGGTGTGTAGCTCCAAATGGTGTGTGTTTGAATGGTGATCTCCTCTTCTTATATAGTGAAGCATGGTCGGCTTGGCGCTAATAAATTAGAAAATCGGCCAAAACTGCCTATGTATGGAGGCATGCAACCGTCGGAGGAGCGTCGGCCTGAGAGGTAGTGGTGGGGGTGTAGGTGCACCCAGGGTGCGACCTCACCCTATATGGCCCCGTTCGCCACCGCCTAGCTCCTCTAGGCTCTTGGCTGGGCCTGGACCTCTTCTACGTCGGTGCCCAGCCCAAATTTGGTGCTTGGATAGGCCTTTGCTGGATTCCTTTGTGTATGCTCTGCTTTATGCTTTCTGCTTTGCGCCTTTTTGCTTGGTTTTCACTTGTATTTGAATATGAGTCCTGCAAAACATGTTTTCTCCAATACAAGTGGAACTAGGTCAATAGTATATGCATATGTGTCGAAAGTTTGTTTAAGTCTCCTGTTTTGGACATTATTTGGTGGTCGGATTCGATCGTTAGTGATCGCCAACAACGACTGCGGGGAGAGGGAAAGAGAAGTGCGACTGGAAAACCTAAGTGCTCCTAATATACATGGCTAAGCTAATGGCCCAGCTGGTCTTTAGGCCTTTTTTCGAGGCGGGCCATTTAGGAGTCCCCCCCCAAAAATGGAGGCATTTTTGGATGAGGCCCGCCTCGATTAATAGATTTTATGAGGCGATTTTGTTAGGTCAACCACCTCGGTTAATAGGCATTAACCGAGGCGGTTATGTTAAGTTGCCAGCCTCGGTTAAGCATTAACCGAGGCAGTTGCTGGGCCGGCTGCCCTGCCATGAATAACCGAGGTGGGCAACCAGCCTAACCGCCTTGGAGGCCTTTTTCCAAATGCCTCGGTTAAGTTTTTCTGTAGTAGTGTGGGTCTTTGCTAGTTGGGCCAGTGTGGGCTGCCCGAGTGGCTAACTAATCTGTGTCTTAAGATACCCGATGTATAATAACCCCAATAGTTGCCCTCGAGCGTCTTCACGATCTCAAAGTGATCGTGGAGATGCTGATGTTCGTGCATGTATCTAAGGTCATGGTTGTCTTGAGCTCGGAGCTTGCCTGCTCCTATCAGGGCTGGCGTACTTGGTAGAGGTCGACCTCTCTTTGTTCCCTCCCAGGAGACAAGAAGGGGGAGAGGTCGTGCGGTGCTGCGTGGCGTGTAGCGGAAGGAGAAGGGAGAGGTCGTGGTTGACCACTCGCCTTAGTGCTTGGCCTGGGACCTTTGTAGCTTCGGTGAACCGTGCTGTTGGGTCTTTGCTAGTTGGGCTAGTGTGGGCCACCAGAGCGGCTAACTAATTGATGTCTTAAGATACCCGGGGTATCATAACCCCGACAATAGCCCTCGAGCGTCTTTGTGATCTCAGAGTAATTGTGGAGATGCTGATGTCTGTGTGTGTGGTGCGCATGTATCTAAGGTTGTGGTAGTCTTGAGCTCGGAGTTCGACCCGTTGTTGTTTCTAATGTTCAATGCGGTAGGTGGCCGTTACGTCCCGTCCCGTCAAGTTGCCTTGACGGCCAGGTACATGACTGCTCTGCTGAGCTCGGCTATGTTAGGGTGTTGTGTGTAAGGGTACGAGATCCATACAGAGCCATGCGGTCTTGTCGATGTTGAACCGGCTCCATCTTTTGGAGGATCTCGATTCCCCGACCTCACGCGAGCTTCTGACATTGACTATGACCTCCCGTTGTTCACCACGTGGCTTGGGGATCATGGGCCGCATAGTCCGCACTTGGGCCTATAAATAGGGACCTCCTTCCCGTTTGAACCATTCTTATCCATGCCTTTTGGCTACTTCTAGATTTCTTGAACAGCTGAGCTCGAGAGAGGGAGTGCTTCTCAATAGATAGTGGATGTTTTGAGGATGTGAACTGCCAGGGGTCAGTTGTGTTGGCTGGAGGTCGGCGATGCTTCATGCAGCAATTGGTGCTAGGAGGTGGCTTGCGAGAAGGAGGGGATGAGATGGTTCGGCCGCCAGGTCTGTATCCATAGGACCTCCTCGTTCCCCGAGACCTACCGGCTCGGGTGTGCGATGTGGTCGCTAGCTGTGGAAGGTTTCACCGTGCCATCCTCATTGTGGTGGGTATGATGGTGGTGCAGTCATGCTCTGAAGGTCAGGCAACCCCATCATATGATGGTTCTTTCATGCCTCTACGACCCAAAGTGCATGCCCCGGTGGTGTGCATGAAACCCCACCGACAAACATTGAGGGGCTTCCTGGGCCATCACACTTCCCATCTCTCCCCATGTGTCTTGTGCTCCGGGAGTCATGATGCTACGAGAAGGTTTACGACGCATCCTTTTTCGTCACGCTTGCAGCAATGGTGGAAGAGAACATCCCGCAAACCATCTTCTAGCATCATGTCTTCTAGAGCTTTCAACGATATCACCATGTCGGTGGTATCAGGCTGTTTATGTCCTATATGTGGGTTGGCCGCACTTGTCGATTATGAATAATGAGAAACTCTTTATTGGGATGTTGTGATTTTTTCTAAGGTCGCGACGAGCCCCTAAGCCGTTGGGTTAGGGTCGAGCAAGTTAGTCCAAGGTCACGACTTTTGAGTGGATCATCGACTTTTTGCCCCGCAAGATGGAGAGTTCGACCCTTGAACCGCTTGGGCGTCTTTCCCCTAATCAAGCCTTAGCTCGCTAGATTGCGATTTTCCGACCGTCGCTAGGTTGCGGCCGCATTCCTGAGTGGCTGTAGGGTCATGGGACGTCCTCTTTAACCGAGGGTCGTCGTTTAGGCCTAAAGCGACCCAGGCCATGTGCGCCGGGTCATGGTCAGGCTTTTGTTAGTGAATATCTGGTCGTGAGTCTGAAGGAGGGAGAAACTAGTAAGCTTGCTTGTAAGGAAGGTCGTCTTGTCTTGGCGTCAGCGCACGTTCTGGTACGGTTGTCGTCGTGGTGTTGCTCCCACGTAGCGGCATGGCATGGCGTGGCGTGATGCTACAGTGCCGGTCGTGACGGCAATGTTGTCACGGTGGTGGTTTGCCAATCAATCCTATGCGACATGAGCCTGCTGTGGTCTTCGTCATCATCTCCCGGTGGTGTCGTGGCGATAGTATGGGAGTAGGTAGCCGCTCCTAGGTCATCGGTCCCCTTTGCTTGTTGTGGTCCCGGTGGCCTCAACCCTGGACTACGAGGTTGAGGTCCCCGATAGCTTGGCTAGCCTTGAAAGTCACGGTCGGGGTTGTGTGCCTCATCCCGTAGTGGGTGGGGCCATATGCCCATCTTGTCACGCTGAGTATGGACGGTGGGATGTCGTACCGGTCGTAACTGTCTGGCGGTTTTGTCTTATCCGCGCAGTGTGGCGTAGAGATGGCGTCTGTCCTAACTGAGGGGATAGATGTCCCATCGGTCCTAGCGGATTGAGTGGAGCATGCCTGCCCCTGTTAGGGCTGGCTTACTTGGTGGAGTTATACCTCTCCTCGTTCCTTTCCAAGGCTCGAGACGGGGGAGAGGTCGTGCGGTGTTGTGTGGCGTGTAGCGGAAGGAGAAGGGAGAGGTCGTGGTCGACCACTCGCCTTAGTGCTTGGCCCAGGGCCTTTGTAGCTTCGGTGAACCTCGGTTGTCGGCCCTCTGCTAGCTGGGCCAACGTGGGCTGCCCGAGCGGCAAACTAATCGGTGTCTTGAGATACAGGGGGTATCATAACCCCGACAGAGAGAATGCATGTTGTTTGAGTATTTTAATACCGTATTAACTATAGTTTGTGTCTTAAAATTGATGTATTAGGTAGCTTCACATGTTTCTTCCACTATAAATCATTAATTTCATAATATATGGATCCTAGCACCCCATCCATGCATAGAAAATATTTAGATTTTGATGTAGACAGTGAATTTGTTGGTTTGTTGAAAATATATTAATTAATTAGTCATACCTGTATGTTAATTTATGTTAGTGAATATCTGGTCATATATAATGTTCTTTTGAGAAAATTGAGTGAATATTTTAATAATTTAATCATAACTATGTATTATTGTAACCATTTATTGAGCAAAGACAGTGTGAACATTTTTCTTTAAATAAATGTCTATGTATATATTTAAATCTATTTACAGCTGCATTAAATTATTATGTAGATCCTTATGGAATTTTATAGTTTACGATGTAGAGAGCATCTGAGCATGTATGTACAATTTATCAAGACTTGATCCATCTTACATGTGGGAGGTTGATAGATTTATTAATGCCGTGAAGACACAAGAGTAAAGGAAAAAAATAATCGAAAGTACATCGTTAAACTTATCATAGGTAACCTAAAATGTACGATAGAGAAATCCATGAATACTAAATGAACAATCCAAAATATGTCAAAAACATATTATTGATACTATAAAAATATCACAAAATACACCATAAAGCATTCCATCAATACTAAGAGAAGGATCCAAAATACATCGTGGAACAATCCATGTTACAATATGAATGATATAAAATACACTACGGGATCTTATGGACACCTTGAGAAAAATAATAAAAGTACACATAGATCACCTCGTGGATAATACGCGGCCAATTTAAGGAATGGTATTTCTTCATAAAAAAATGAACAATGTTAAAATAAAAAATATTCTTTCTTCACAAGAAAACATCTCACAATAAAAAAATGATATACATGGAAGTCCCAATAAAATTAATGATGTAAAAAAATCACATGCTAGGAAACAATAGAAAAGTTAGAGCAAGATAACAGGACACTTGATATAAAAGTAATGAAGAGAGAAAAAACAATAAGGAAAAAGGAAAAGTATGAACAAGAAGAAAGGGAAAATGAGAAAAGAAAAAAAAAAATATAAAAAACAATGTAAATAGAAAAGGTAAATGAAATAAAAAGAAAACAAGAATAATAAGAAGAAATAAATGAAAGTAATAAGAAAAAACATTGCATCTGCAAAAACCATGCCTTATCTAGTTTTAATAAGAATGAACGTGAGATCATGTGGATTTAGTTTATACATGCAACGGTTTTATTCTATGATAATCCCACAACAATGTACAAGGTATCCTTCTAGTTTAGCAATTGAAAAGTACAGCACAAAAGGAAGTTGACATAGTTATCAGAGTTGTTATATATATAACAAATAGATCTTGACAATGCATAACCTATTTGGCTACAAGTAAAATAAATACAAGCCACGATGAAACACGACATTAGGCATGTCATATTTTTTTTTTACAGTACTAGGAAAACTATGATAATGAACGCTGCCATGCAGGATAAATGGTTCGCCACAGCTATGCAACGGCCCCGTTCGGCTGACAGAATCTTGGCTGAAACTGGCTGGTTGTGTGAGAGAGAAACACTGTTTGGCTGAATGGATGAACAGTGTTTTGTGAGAGCAACCAGTCGGCTGGTCTGGTTTTACCAGACCAGCGAACGGCGCCAACATCTGCAAAGAAATCATACACCGTGATCCGGGCCGCTATTGGAATTCGAAATGTCTTTTGGTTATTGTACCAAGTAAGGCTTCCAAATGTATAATCTCCTTGTAACCTCCGCATAGGTGATAGCTTGACCTGAAAAGTGTGGACTTTGTTTGTAGCATTGAACACAAGAATAGATGGCTCAACTTCGATCTTGATTCTAGATGGGTTCTGAATTGCAACATGGTACACTACATTGACCTCGCCTACATTTGTGACAGTTCTCCACACAGTAACTGGATACCTCAGATCTGGAGCTGAGATGGATGGCAGGTTCAAAAAATACCCTGGTATCGATTTTGCATTGCAGTTAACGGATGTTTTGGTGGTGCAATCAAGGAAGTAGTTGTAATCTTTTGGATTGATGTCATAAATTAGACCAGGATCTGCAGCTCTGTTAGGGTTGATGTGCCCACCTCCATAGTCAAATGGGTCGGCAATGTTTCGAGGCAATCCTTCATTCAGTATCGGCATGCCATCTTCATCAATTACAGATGCTTCAGCATGCAAAACGAAACAGAGGTAAATACATGTAGCATTGCCGCTCTTAGGAAAATCACTTGCAAAATGGAGAATAGACGAGAGGGGAAGGAAGTGGGTGCAAACGCATATCTTTTTTCGGTAGCAACGACGTGGGCTAAGGGATCTCTAGTTTTACCTTCTCAATTCCATATCCGATTAATTTGGTGGCGAGGAGGATGTGCCACGTGCGATCGGATTAATGAGCTGTTCTACCACTCCTTGCGATGGGTGCACCTTGCCTATTGCACAATTGTGACCAATCGTACTTCTTTACCATCAATTTTTGACAAAAAAAAACACTATTTACTTTAGTATATAGAGATAGAGATTTACTGAAGTAGCAACTGAAAAGTACAACAACAAAAGGAAGTTGACATAGTTATCAGAGTTGTATATAACATAACAAACAGATCTAGACAACTCATAGCCTATTTGGCTACAAGCAAAATAAATACAAGCCACGATGAAACTTGACAATTGTCATGTCTTGTTTTCGTAATTTTTTTGGATAGTGCTAAAAAACTCTGATAATGAGCGCTGCCATGCAGGATAAATGGTCCACCGTAGTTATGCAACATCTGCAAATAAATCATACATCGTGATCCGGGCTGCTATTGGAATCCTAACCTTCTTTTGGTTATTGTACCAAGTAAGGCTTCCAAATGTATAATCCCCTTGTAACCTCCGCAGAGGTGATAGCTTGACTTGAAATGTGTGAACTTTTTTTGCAGCGTTGAACACAAGAACAGATGGCTCAACTTCGATCTTGATTCCAGCCGGGTTCTCAATTGCAACATGGTACACTGCATTGACCTCGCCTACATTTGTGACAGTTCTCCACATGGTAACTGGATACCTCAGATCTGGAGCTGAGATGGATGGCAGGTTCAAGAGATACCCAGGTGTCGATGTTGCATTGCAGCTAACAGATGTTTTGATGGTGCAATCAAGGAAGTAGTTGTAATCTTTTGGATTGATGTCATAAATCAGTCCAGGATCTGCGGCTCTGTTAGGGTTGATGTGCCCACCTCCATAGTCAAATGGGTCGGCAATCTTTCGAGGCAATCCTTCAGCCAGTATTGGCATGCCATCTTCATCAGTTACAGATGCTTCAGCATTCAAAATGAAATAGAGGTAAATACATGTAACGTATTGCCTAGTAAACTAATCATGGCTTCAGAAGTCAAATCGTCTTCTAAAGCGGTGTTTGGTTTTATTACCAGTGGTGATGATTGCAGATTTCAGTGCAGCAGGAGACCAGTTTGGATGCAGAGCTTTCAACAGCGCGATGATGCCAGCTACATGTGGGGTAGCCATTGATGTCCCTGACATAATCCCGTAAGAATTTCCTGTTGCTGCTAGGATGTTGGCTCCAGGTGCAGCTATGTCAGGCTGTGGAGGAAGCAAAGGCTGCTGTGAGACAACAGGTGATGGCATGTTTGCGCCTACAGACTGTTAGACGCAACATTTGACTCTATGTACCTTGATAATATCAGCGTAGTCGGGTGATGGACCTCTGGAGGAGAATGATGCCACTTTTGGGGCTAGCAGGGCACCTGTACTGGTGCGGGCTGGTTCAATCTTCGCCACCGGTGAGCTGCTTGAAACGACCAGAATTTTACCGGAGAAAGGCTCAGCTCATGATAGAGAAAGAATTGATCTAGCTTGTTATGTGCATTGTTGTACGTGCTAATGAGGATCCAGGAAGTTGTGTACCTGGCGGAGTCGATGTACTTTTTGATGTTTTTACCAGTGTCAATGTCCACCAAAACATATGGAAAGCCATCCGAGTCTTCCAGAATGTCAGTCGTGTATTGAACAAAAATAAGTCCAGTTCCCCCTCCATTCACGACGTTTTGCCTCGCGTCTGACAAATACGCGAATGGGCCCTTCGTCGTTGGTGAATGTTGCGTTGCGCAAAGCACGATTTTCCCTTCAATATCAGTACCGTTCAAATCATCTTGCGTGCATCTAAGAGAAGGCACAAATTAAGTTAAAAAGTTGCTGTCAATTTCAGAATTTTTGGAGCATTTGCAGAAAAAAAAGTAAAATTAATGGCTTTGCATACAGGTCTCCATTGGCAAGACTTCTGAAACTGCTCCTGGATGAGTTTGAGTTCTTCCCTTGGTAATAGAGAGATTGTCCCTGAAAAATAGGCAAGAGTTGTATTTATACTCAAGATCAGTAACATATGCTTCATTGCTTCTATGTAAACAAAATCATGGCGGCCTTGTGATTCTTCAGAGTCGGCATTTGTATGTATTCAAACAATTCATACCGTTATCTGTTGCTTGTTTCCCAGCGTGATAACCGTCGGGAACGAGCGATCAGTCTTGCTCGCGGCAACTGTGATGACCCACGGAGCCGTGTTCTCAAGCGTCTGCGGACTAGGCCCGTCGTTCCCGGCCGCGTACACGACGGTGATCCCCATTTGGACGGCATGCAGGGCGCCGAACGAATTCTCCTCGGGATGAGCGAGCGACAGCGAGAGCACGTCCACCCCGTCATGGATGGCGTCGTCGATGGCCGCGAGCACGCCTGCACTGGTGCCAGACCCGCCTTCTCCCCACAGGGACTTGTACATGGCAATGCGGGCGCGGGGCGCGCCGCCACGCGCAGCGCCCGCGGCGAGCCCGTGGAAGCTGGCCGCCTCAACGACCGTACCTGCCGCGGTGGAGGCCGTGTGCGTGCCGTGGGTGTCGATGCCCCGGGGCGACAGGTAGTCGGTCTTCAGTATCTCTTCGGGCAGGCCGGCGCTGTAGAACCGCGCGCCGATGATCTTGCGGCTGCAGTTGCTGCGGTCCCAGGCCTCCCCGACTTGGCACACGCCTTTCCATCGTGAAGGCACGGGCCCGTAGCCTCGGTCGCTGAAGCTTTTCGACTCTGGCCAGATACCTGAGGGGACAGCGGGGTGTGTTGGTGGACCTTGGACTTGCACTAGACAGGTCGCCGAAAGACAGGTGTTTGCAGTATGGAATCAATTCATGATCATGATTGTGATTGGTCACTAACCGGTGTCGACGACCCCAATGATTATGTCCTCTCCGTATCTGCTTCTATGGAGTAGTCCACTGGGCATTTGGTAGTTCATCCCAAGGAAGTCCCAGCTACGAGTGGTTGTCGCTCTGCAGCTTCTGCTTAGATGGACACTGATGACTTCAGGAAGCTCTGCAGAGTTAATTTAGAAGCCACAAAAAGTATGGTTACTTTAACGGTGCACTGACAAATGTTCAGCTACAGTTCTAGAATGAAGTGATCAAGTGAAGAGTAAGTAATGGTGAGAAAAAAAAAATCCTTGAAACCGGTTAAAAAAATCCGACGGGCTGACGTTGATCTCTGTCATATCCATAATCAGGCGCTGAGGTCTTTCATGGCCAACAACGTGACGGTGCAAGTGCAAGGCCTCAAGGTGAAGAACAGCCCAGTCCAGTTCGATACCTGCCGCGGCGTGCTCGTCAGCGGCCTGTCCATTAGCTCCCCGACGCTGTGCCCCCACACCGACGGCATCCACGTCGAGAACGCCCAGGACGTCCTCATCAGCAACACCGCCGTCTCCAACTCCGACGACTGTGTGTCACCATCGGCGCCGGCACCCTCAACATGCACACCGAGAAAGTCACCTCCCTACGGCCCCGGTGGTCGGCCACGGCATGAGCATCGGGAGCCTGGGCAAGCAGGGCACGCGGGCGTGCGTGGCCAACGGTGAACTACGCGGTGATCTGGCACTCGGACAACGCCGTCCGGATCAAGACGTGGAAGGGCAGCTCCGGCTCCGACTCCGTCGAGAACATGCACATGGACGCCGTGCGCAACCCCATCATCATCGACCAGCATGAACTGTTTGCGATTATGTTCTATCAATTTGCTTATTTAACATATTATATATATATATATATATATATATATATATATATATATATATATATATATATATATATATATATATATATATATATATATATATATATATATATATATATGAGCCTCTTCCGGTTATTGCAAGTATTCCTAGTTGCTTTCAATTTTTGCTTTTGGGAAAGTTGTAGGATGCATTCCTTGTTTGGTGGTTCCCATGCAAATTTAGTATTGAATTATTACTCGTGGAGGAATAATTTGTATTGTCTTTAACCAAGTTAACCGATTTAACCAAAAGCGATTTTGGTTGGTTTCGTGGCTTAAGAGCAAGTGAGACGGCGAATTCCAGTTTGAGCAAAAAGACTGAAAGGACTGGCCTGCAAGCTGATCAGCATGGTCTTCCGTGAGCATCGCTGCGAACCCTGAGAAGCCATGCTTGTAGTTGTAAACCATGGAAGCCAATGAATCCTCCATACTGGAAGAGGAAATAACGGGACACGATCAACCATGAATTTGCACATCATTCATCAGGATCAGTTGTCTTAAATGAAGAATCAGCAAGTAACATGGCTTCACTACTTTAAGAGGACACGTACGTACCTTCCAAGAACATTGCTGAGTAGATCATGGTGCGAAGCGATGACATCGTTGGGGTGTCCATGTTTCACATCGCCTAGGTATACAATATATAGCTACAAAGATTGTTGATTAGAGTTTGGATTTTGGAAGCTTCTTACAAAGCTGTTAGCAATGCATCGGGCATGCATGCTTACCCTACGGGATCCTCCATGTGCCCCCAGTAGTAAAGGCAAGAAAAGGTAAAGCAGGAGCGCTGAAGCCACCGGGGCACGCGATGGAATACAGAATCCCATGTTTGCCATTTTCCTATGCTGTATGTTGGTTCCTGATAGGTGACACAAATGTGCCACTGTTTATAGACATTTATATATGAAGAAGATTCTATTCCCTTGGTCAACAAAATTACATAAAAATTAGTCCAAAGGAAAACTCCAACACCACATGTTCTTCTCGTACCCCCACCTCCTTACAACCAGTATTGTTTGGAGTGGAATATACGAAATAAACCGTACGTCCTAGGACATGTCAGTATAAGAGAGGTAACAGTTTCATTAGCGAGGATTTGTAAAACGATGTTTCAAACAAAAGAAGATTTATCTACTGCCACAAAATAAGTGATTTTTCGGGTTTATTCTAAGTCAGTGTTAGCGAGGTTTAATGCTTTCATATTGTGTTTAATCATTTTTTCATCTAGGGGGAAGACTCAACACGTCCCAGGGTTTTGCCGCCCCAGCCACAGAGACAAAAAACGTCCATCAATCCTATAGAGAAGAGAGCATAGAAGACGACAGAACTACGTCGCATTGCCTAATGCCGTCACCATGCCAGTCGATGCCACCGCTTCTTTCGCCTACCTATTCTAAGGTTTCACCCATGGGCCACTCGTCGACCCTAAGGCCTTGATTGGTGTATGAACATTATGGCCAAAGAGGGGGACTTGAATTGGGCTCTAAATGTTAAAGAAACAAACCTTAGCCTATGCAAAAACTAAACCCCCAACCTTCTTAGCGCCTAAGTTCTTCTACAAAGCAAATTGATTAAGAAAGTTCTTAGGGCCAACAAGTTAACCATGTCCTTAGCAAAGTTTCACACTAAGATTAAGGTCCTTAAGAACAAGAATGAAACCCATGCTAAGCACACACTAGCATGAATCCTAGTTGTCACTTAACAAGACCTAAAAGCAATGAAAGTAAACACAAGTATAAAGAACAAAGCAAAGGGAGAACCAAATTGTAGCTTAGTTAAACCTCTTCAACTTGGTCCCCAGTGCCATCGCCATGTCACTTGGCGGCGAGCCATCCGAGAAGTAGGTCATGAAGAGCCCGTCACGTCGTTCACGTGTGCCCCTCGGAGAGATGTCTTAGGGTACATGAGGGGGAATGAGCAAATGTCGTTCGTCACCATGGCGGTGGTGGTCCCATTGCACCTCATCTGTGACGGGTCGCAAGGCAGCTGGCTGAGCCCCAGCTCGATGGTGTGTGCACCAACACCTCCATGTACTAGCTCCCGATCAGTGCTGGTGGTCATGAGCGCATCCACGGTCTGGCCCGAGGCAAGCACGAGCATGTTCGCATTCATGTTAGAGGTATAGCCCGCATCCATGCTGATGACAGTGAAGTTGTGGTCGACCACCATGCAGAAGAGGTGCAAGTTCAGGCCGACATCGACAACAAAAGCAGCACCCTCATGTTGGGCTCCACCACCATCGCGAATGTCTCAAATATACCAAATCAAATGAAGAAGTAATAATTAGCTACTTACTAATTACATAATCTCTATTATTGAATGCAATTTACATTTTTTAGAGTAAAAGGACCAAGCCCCCAGCTTCATCAAGACAAAACATTTTACAACATTGGGAATTTGGGATGGAACACACCCTCGGTCCAGAAAGCAAAGCGTACCCTCACCAAAACACCAAAACAAAATCAAGCCTCGTTCACATTTCCCAGGATAAACCTAGTGAAGCCAAATCCATCCATTTGCGAGAACGAATTGCTTCTTCAAATGTTGCACTATTGGACAAAAAGTGCATTTAGGCCCCCTAGTGGGTTTGGAGCTAAAAGTTATAAAGTTTTTCATAGAGTGACATGCGCTGTTTTTAGACTTGTGGAAGTTCCAACATTTTTTGTCGGAAGTTCCGACGTACGTCAAAAGTTCCGAGGTTTCCATAAGAAGTTTCGATGTTCTGCTAGTTCGCGCATGTGGGGTATTTATATCCCCTCCCCCTCATTCGGAGGGCTTGCTGCTGCTCCCCAACATCCATAACAGAACCAAGATCCTTGTGAACACTGCATATACCATCTCTTTGTGAGATTGAGCGATTCTTGAGAAATACAAGTGGTGGGTTGAGTGAATTTCAAAATAGAGAGCAAGCCAAATCCTTGAGCAGTTGTGGGCTTCGTCAATCGTTCGTGAGACATTTGGTACTTTTGGATCTTGGCTCCTAGATGGCTAGGAGGCGCCGACGAGCAACCAAGCTAGTGGTGTGCCGTGGCAAGTTTGTGAGGGCCCAATCTCGCCTCCGCAAGGGAAGAGATCAAGCTTAGTAGATCGATGACGGTGGTTGAAAGAGACCCAGCTAGAGTGCACCACGGAGTGGTCACTCATGGCTTCCTAAACGGAGACGTATGGCTAGTGTGGAGGCCCGAGCTTCAGTAAAACAAACCTTGTCTAATTTGTATTTTGAATTACAATATTTGTGTTTATCAAATTCTACTTGGTTGTGCGTGTTTGTGAGTGCAGGTGCTTTATGTCTTGCTATTGGACATCCCCAAACTCATATATCCAAGTGTGGTTTGAGCTAGAACTCATTAGGCGTACTCTCATTTCATTTCATAAAGACAACATCGGAAGTTCTAACGTGCATCGACAGTTCCGATCCCCCGGCTCTAGCTCCTGTGCGCTACAGTGACGCTACACTATGGGAGCCGGAGCCGAAAGGAGCCTGGCCAAACGGCCCCTTCATATGGTGCTCCGGTGCGCTGGACCATGACCGTGGTTTTCAGAAGCTAAGGACTTCAAATCCTTCCAAGGATCTTCCTGAAAACACAAACAGCTCCTTAGTTTTCAAAGCCCCAAGGCTACACCGCTACATCAGAAAAAACATATTAACAACTACAACTTTTTATCGCTTAGCCATATATGTCCGACAGCTAAGAATTTAGCGCCACAAGGTCTATTGAAAATTTCTAAATTAGTCTCTCAGAGCTGCTTTGCTACTGCACACAATCAAATAAAAAACGGTTAACAGACTCGGTCTCAGAATAGAACAACAAGAGAGGTTGTCTACCTTTCTTTTTTGACATCCAAAGTGATAGTTCTTTGTTGATGGATATCTATTTTGGAGTATTTTACCAGAAGACACTCTGGTTTGATGAAATTAGGCCACAGGACATCGCAGACCGATTGCAGCCGGTTGAGAAGAGAACCGCGGTGAAATGACATTCTTGCTCCTGCCGCTTTCTTCTTCCTCTCTCCGGTTTCTCGGCCTCGTGCCTCCGGCGGCATGCTCTGGCGCCGCGCCCCCGGCGCCCGGGCCTGCGCCTCCGACGTCCGCGGCTCCACGCCCGGGACCACGCCTCCGACGTCTTTTTTTTTCCCTGGCTCCTTCTTCTTCCGCTGACCCGTGGCCGCGCAGCAGTGGCTGCGAGCTTGCTCAGCTCGGCCGTGGCGGCGGCGTGGCAAAAAATTAAATTGGCCGGCGACGAGGCACGGCTGATGCTCGATGTGGATTGGCAGGCTAGCTAACTTCCGCTGACGCACAGCCAGGTCTTCTCCGGCGACGTCGTGGCTTCATCCGTCTAGCTCGCAAAGCGTCGGCGGCCATCGAGATCGACATTCGAGTCTAAGCGTCGACGGCCGTCGAGACCGCCGGCGGCAATCGAGATCGACGTTTGAGTCTAACCGTTGACACGGCCGTCGAGATCGACGTTTGAGTCTAACCGTTGACGGCCGTCGAGATCGCCGTTCGAGTCTAAGCGTCGGCGGCCGTCGAGATCGCCGTTCGAGTCTAAGTCTCTAAGACGCAAGGATTTCTGTCGGTTTCAAATCGGGGTCTTCCCCACGGCTGGCCAAGCACGCTAACACCGGGTGCCATGCCGCTGGCGTCTCCAGCGTCCTCCGCGTACTGAGCCTGGCTAGGCGCTTTGTGCAGGTACCTGCGCGACCCCTCCGGGGGCGCGTCCGCGTAGCGGCGCTACGCCGAACGCAGGCCAAGCGCCGTCCCGCTGCTGCAGAGTGATGTCAGCATGACATCATGCTTACGTCAAATACCTCCTTTTCTGTTGGAAAAAAAATCAGAAATACACTAGAGTTTAGAAAGCAATGCACGCAAACAGATCATCTCTGGATCAGCAGACGAGATTAACTGGCCCATCTCTCCTCAACATGGCCACGGTGCAAAGCTAATCCCACTTTTATAAACACTCAGATCGGATTTAGTTGACTAACATGGAGGACATTTTCACGTCGCTGCTGCTTGGCTGCTGAGAGCGCTCCCCGCTGTAGCTCGCTGCCGCACGCCGTTGCTGCCTGGGTCCGGCTGCTCGCGCCGCCGCCGCCGCTGCTTGCCTCCTGCGCGCCACCGCTGCAGCTCGCTGCCGCGCGCCGTTGCTGTCCGGGCCGCCGTCTCCGCTGCCTGCTACGCGCCGCCACTGCTCGGGCCCGGTTGCTCACGCCGCCGCCGTCCGCTTGCCTGCCTGCTTGTCCTACGCGGCTATGACGCGGCCGAGGATCAGCACGTGTGCCCGCACGCGCCCTGCCACGGACACCGCGGCGCTCCTATCGCCGGCAGCAGCAGCGAGGGTGGCTGATCACACGTTGCGCTCGTGGTCGCGGCAGAGGCTCGCCAGCTCGTCCGTATGCCTGCGTGGCCGGGGTTGGTCGACGGCGGTGACTGTTGCTCAGCAATGGAAGAAGAGAAGAGGAGAAAAAGAGGAAGATGGTAGGTGGGGCCCACACGTCAGTGAGAGGGAGAGGGGCGGACCTAACTGTGGTTCAGGGACACTGGATGTTCGGAACGAAATTTTCTTTGTTCTCAACCAGCTGCAACCAGTCTGCGGTGTCCGGTGGCCTAATTTT